ATCTTGTGAACGGCTTCCAGCTAGCGCACTTAGGCGAGAGTTCTATCCCTTCCTCTCGCTTTGCTTAAGAGGGTGAAGAGTTCACGCAGGCCCCCATGTGTCGAACACACCGCGCGGCCCTTCCAGTCTCATGAGCACCGGGTGAAGCCGGAGAAGGGTGGCTCGGACCCCCCGGGAGGGTACCTTAAAATCTCGGCCAGCCTGTTGAAGCAGCTGTGGCTGGATGAGAGGGAGATGCGGGCTACAGTAAGTGAAGATTCAGTCTTTTCTCACACGTGCGTTGCTTTGTCTAAAACTGCATGTTGGCAAAGGAAAGAGTCCTGAGGATGTGTCAATAATGCAGTATGTGAGAGTGGGGGGTAAACAGATGTGTTGCAGAACAAAGGAGTGAGCTCGGGCTCACACACACACACACACGTGAACGCAACAGCATGTAGCTGCTTGAACCTAATTCAATAAGACCTCCCTCAGCCACCCCCTTCATTGCGTGTGCTGTTGCTCATGCATCGCTCTTCTCTGCTGCGCATGTTGTCGATCGAGTACACGCTCCTGTGTGTGTGTGTGCAGCAGTCGAGGGATAGCTGGTGTGTCTCGGTGGCACTTATGAATGGGAACAGAGAGTGAGACGGAAGTACAGAGGATGGCTGTGTTAGGGGAGACCCGCAGTTGGAGCCCCAAGCCGTGGGAGTTCAGGCGCTATAATTGTGACTTCCACCCCAAGTCTGAGGTAAATAAAATCGCCTGCGCTGACAGCCTGACACATTTATTTTCTTTGAAACGCACTCTGTTGGGGAGAATGCCGTGCTTATTTTATTTTTAGGTTAGGCTTTGAGACTGAAATTCATGTGTGTTTGGATCTTTAAAGTAGAGAAATATGCTCCTCTTGTAGACTTTTTTTACCCCCGTCATTCTTGACTGATGCTGTTGGCTTTTAGATGAGAATGGGATGAACTAAAGCTGGTCCTTTCATTGCATTGTTTTGTTTTTTTCTGTCAGTTCTTAACCCTCGGCTGAGGCAAGAGCCATATGTTCCTGTTGTTCTTGGCATGACGTGTTATTTTCAATGTTTTTGAACTCAACTTAACTGATGCTGGAGAAACAACTCTTTACTAATCTGTACGCCAGGATCCCTGATTATTTTCAAAGTGGGTTACCTAAAAGGCTTTTTTTCTGTCTGCTTTCAGCAATGTTGTTTTCGAATGTCTTTAATTGCGTTTTTAGGATTCTGAACTTTCCACCTGTTGACTGATGGCCAAATGCGTTTCTCGGTCACGGCATGACATTTATCGCAGTTCATCCGCACCTTTTCATGTGACTCAACCCCTGTTCCATATCCTCTCATGAGGAAGACATAAACATTGAGCCTTTTAGCGAAAGACTGTTGAGAGCTGAAACGAGGTGGCATATGTTTTAAAATCAGCCAGTCAAATGACTTCCTGCTGGAGGCTTTCAGATCAGGACCCCTGCTCTACTGAAATAGATCAGTGCTCCTGCTCGTCTCCGAGACAGATGTGTCATCAATAGTGCCTCAACAAAAGCTCAATGGAAGACTGACTCAGAGCGATTTTCATGGAACAAGTGGTACTCTGATGAGCGCTGAACCAACCTCTCCGTCTCGTTTCAGACCCATGCGAGTGACGTGGGTTTGGACGTCACAGCCAGTGATGCTGTCCTCTCCACTTTATCATCATTCATCCTCGAGTGATCTAATGTGTCGATTTGCACCAGGTCTATTGAACGGCGGAGTCCTGCCTTGCCCTTCTTTGTTATGGGCTATCATTTACAGAACTATTTTGTGTTGTTTTATTAGACTGAGTTATACATTTGTGCAGTTTCACATTTAATTACTTGGCAGACACATTACCAACGAGCAATTTAGAGCACATATTTGGAGCTCATTATTCACTGAATTACCAAGTGGTGCTTGCCCAGAACTCACTGCCATGTTGTTGGAGTGTTTGCCAGGAGGTTGTCTTCTAATCGCTAAAAACCCGTCCACCCGTGTAGCGACTTCCCGCGTCACTAATTCATTGATTTTCAGTGAGAGTGGGTGACTTCTTGTGACGCGAACAACAGCAACCTCTGCCGACCAGATGTGGACATGTTCAGCTAGTTTGAGATTTATCTTTAGGCAAGTGATGAGCCTCTTTCGCGAGTGACCGATAATAAGAGAGAACATTTTTAGTGTGTGAAATAGAGCCCGACCGATAAAGGATTTTGAAGGCCGATACCGATACAAAAATATTTTTGGGTTTTAAAATCCGATATTCTGATATATCGGCCGATATTTTATTTATTTATTTATTATTTTTTTAAATTTTGTCATGCTTATTTGAGTTTAGAGAACTGAAGGGGATGTTCTTTTAATTGTTATTCAAGCAATGTATGTATCGTGACCAACTCAACGAGTGTTGCCAACAGGAACGGTGTAGAGTGCCCTCTGGTGGACAAACTACACAACACTCATGACATGGTTCAAGCATGGTTCGTCCGTTTTAATTTTATTGTTGAAATATTCATTTATCGGCCATTATAACTGCCGATACCTATAGTTTGGAAAATGCCTAATATCGGCCGATAATATCGGTCTGCCGATATATCGGTCTGGCTCTAGTGTGAAAGGCAGCCTTAGTAGTAGCAAACAAGATGAAATATGAGTTATTGTTGCGTTTTTGTTAGGCTATCCAGTTGAACGCGTTAGATGTAGCACTGCTGCGTTGTTCATTCAAAACATTGCAGAAAGAGAGAATGTCAAATGTTATCGCAATAACATTACACGCGGCTTAATGTCAAAGCCGTAACCAAGCCGTTCACACAGAACGCATATTCTGTGCTGCTTTTCCATTTTTTTAAATGTAAACAAGCTCTAGATGGACATCTTTTTTTTTTTTTTTTTTAATAAATAAATTAATAAATAAGTCTCATTTCGAGACTTTGTGGGGCTTTTTTTTCTTCCCGTTCCACTATAACTCGTGTTTTTTAAACGCAAAAACCTCCTGTTATTTAACAATTTAACGATGCAACAATACACACATGTCACGAATCCATACAAATCGTGATACTGAACTCACAATATGATACTATCCCAAAATATATATTAAGTAAAAATAATAATACACAGTTATTATTATTAAATATATAAATACACACACATGTATGTATGTATGTATGTATATATTTAAGAAAAGTATTATTTATAGATCAAATATTTATAATATAAATGATAAATATACAGTATATACATGCAAATATTTCTATATATATTATGTATATACTGTATATTTATTTATAGTTTATATTATAAATATTGTATCTATATATAACACTTTTCTTAAATATATACATGTGTGTATTTATACACTCTAAAAAATGCTGGGTTGTTTTAACCCAATTTTGGGTCAAATATGGACAAACCCAAATGTTGGATTAAAAAATTTATAAATTTAACCCAACAGCTGGGTTAGTCCATATTTGACCCAAAATTGGGTTAAAACAACCCAGTATTTTTCAGAGTGCATATAATAAATAACTATACACAGTTCATATATTATCTAAACTTTTATTTTGGATCCAATTAATCGCGATTAATCGCTTCACAGCCCTAACGCGCACACACTCTCCTGGTTATCATAATCGCCCGGCCCGCTAGTAATGCACTTTACATATAAGAGTAAACCCTCTAAAATGCATTGAATAACTGCTACGTCTACTACTGCTTTGGATACTACTAAAACTAATGTGAATTGTTTTAAATTGTTTACGCTTTCACTCTTGAGTACCAGAGGTTCCAGCGCACGCGCTTCAGATGATCAATGCAATCATTCTAATCGAAAGAAAGCATGTCAAAATGACTGTTTCCAAACTGTAAAGGGTTAGTTTATCAAAAAAAAAAAAAAGTAAATGTATGGTTTTCGCACATTACGCACGCATGTGAGTTCGTGTTTACTACATGCGTCATCTGTTCATCTCTTTAGAAGACTTGGTTTTGGATTAGGCTACTCGATTGATTATTTTTTACGATGCCTTAGACAGTTTTTGGATCTTTAAGTTTCAGAGGAATGGACTAAATGTTAGTTCTGGGGTTACATAAAAAATGTCTTAATTTGTGTTTGAAAGTCGAACGAACATCTTATCAGTTTGAAACGACTTAAGGGTGGGTACATGATGACAAAATGTAAATTTTCTGGGTGAATTATACCTTATAAATGCAGTAAGCTGAGCCTTGGATAAAACTAATACTAGTGCAGATATCGTTTGCATCAATGATATTGCGATATCTATTGCGATAATTATGTATTTTTACTACACCCCTAGTGGATTCACCTTTTGGTGTTTTGAGTGGTACAAAGAGTCCATCAACTTGTTGTGTTTTGGTCCCTTTATTAATCTTCTTGCTCTCTTATTTGGCCATTTTTATCATTTTATTGTCAATAATTGTCTAAAATGTTCTGGAAGAGTGTGAAATATGAGTGGGTAAAACTTTGAATGAAATTGGTTGTGCTGTTTCACAATTCAAATTACTCTAAGCCACAGTCATTGATCATAAAACTAGAGTAAAAAAAAAATATATATATATATAGGTTATATACACACTCCTGTTTTTCCTCTGCTTTTTCTGGGAATCAGAGCCTTTTCGTCATGTCAGTAAACAGTGTGTCCACTTTCTGCCGCACTCAGATGCATTTTCATCTATTTGCGTGTCAGTTATTGTATAGCCACACAAGAAAATGATGGTAGTAGTAAAAGCTTGTTTTTGCCTGGCTGACTGATGGCCACTTTTATGCTAGAAATATTAGCCCAGAATAACACTGAGCCGTGTGTATGTCTATGCTGGCGTTAGGTGAGGTCAAGATGAGGGCATCAAGATGTTCTGTCTTTTAGATGTTGTTCATTGAGGCCTCACTGGTAACTTTTTACCAGTGTATGTAAGGGAATGTATTTAGCTAAGTGGTCTGAAATAGGCTGGTTTCCTCTAACAGTATCTTTCTTGCCTTCTTCAGGTAATCTTGGTGCAGGTAAACCCAGGAGAGGCCTTCACCATCCAGCGAGATGATGGTCAGTTTCAGTGTATCACAGGTAAGATTCAAGAAGTTCCTCTTGTGTTGAGTAGTATTCCTGTGCAATTAAAGCCGTAATTACATTAGTCTATGAACAGGTGGCATTTAATTTAGCCAAATCACAAGTACAGATGATTGCAATGACCACTCTGGGACTTCCTTCGTAATTGATTGCAGGATCTGTAAGTTCTCCTAATGGATTGGAGAGATTGGAGTGTCCCTGTTCCCACATAATTGAGGGTACCATTTTTCTTTTCTTTTCAAACCGTCGTAAATAACACGCATCCTCAGGGTTCCCAAATGCCCCTCTAAAGTTTAAACTATCCTGTAATTTACCCTTTTAATCTAGTGTTTAGATTTACATGGAATGCAACTACTACATTTGTCCATCTCAAAAGAGTGAAACCAAGTATGCCCTTATAAAATGACTTTATTGAGCCCCTGTTTACGACCCTGGGAGCGATTTGGAGCATCAAAACATCTAGAAGCAGACATGTTTGCAAGTCCCTAAAGGTCAAGTCTCAAGTTTTTGACCATCTCAAGATTAATGAACTGTGTTTAACATGAAAAGGACATGGAAATGTATACTTCTTGCAAGCAAACCTCTTGACAGCTGTGCAACGCCACAGCTTCCCTTTGCATTAATTGATTGCTTTTCAAATTAAATGATTATCTCATGGTAAACCTTGGCTATATTGTTATTGTTTGTTGTTGTTTTTCATTTATATAAAAGCACTTTTCCAATGGGTGATGAATAGGCTACGTGCGCCTTAAGATGCGTCACGCATTTATAAAATAATGCTGGCTTGGTGTGTGTGCTGCAGCCTAGTTTGATATTGCAGTTATGAATGTTTAAAAATGAAAAGTTTTTCACAAGTCTTTGTCTTCAAGTCAAATCTTGAGTATTTTGTTCACGAGTCCAAGTCAACTTAAGTGCGAATCGAGTCCAAGTCGCAGAGCCAAGTTTCTCTCTCTAGACGTCATTAAAGGAGTAGTTCACTTTAAAAAATTACGCATTTTTTAAGATAATTTACGCACCCCCATGTCATCCAAGATGTCCATGTCATTCTTTCTTCAGTCGAAAAGAAATTAAGGTTTTTGATGAAAACATTCCAGGATTTTTCTCCATATAATGGACTTTAATGTGCACCAAACGGTTCAAGGTCCAAATGAGAGTGCAAACTGTTCAAAGGGCTTTAAGTGATTCCAAACGATGAATAAGGTTCTTATAAAGTGAAACGATCGCTCATTTAATAAATACATAACAAAGTTTAAGTTTTATAAGCTGTTCTCTGTTCTGTGATGCGCGTTTGTGACTCTCCTGTTCGAACTCGTTTATCAAAATGAACAAGTCATTTGGTTCATTCAACGAACGAAATGAATGAGTTGACTCGGGAAAAGAGTCGTTCATTTTCATGAACGAGTTCGAGTCACGAACGCGCATCACAGAACAGAGCAAGGCGACCATTTGAGCTTATAAAACTTAAACTTTGTTTTTGTTTTTTTAAATGAGCGATCGTTTCGCTAGATAAGACCCTTACGCCGTGTCCTAACTACACGCGACGCCACGACACGCGATAAAAGGTATCTTTTCCATGTTAATCAGAGTTTTTGTCCTAACCAGACGTGACGGCGACACGCGAAGTTTCTAATTTAGAAACGGTTCCTATTTCTGCGACGTCACGGCTGACAGAATGAAGAAATTACACTGGTAATGAGTATACATTATTTATTTTTAGTTAAAAACAGGTCACTGTGCCACAAGCGATAACGGATAATTTACCTCAGATTTTGAAAGCATGTAATATAGTGTTCAAAATGAATTCTATGCAAACATACGACTGTACTTCATAACAAAATTAGTCAATGAGTATATTTTGTTAATGTTTTGATTTTTAATAATGTTATTTCTTGATTTGATTATGTCCTTATACCCATTTCCAATGCGAGTGCGGGCCAACAGTGCACTTTCACAGAGAGACTCTGCTCACACGCTGTTCTGAATGTGTGGCATCTCACAGTCGCGTCGCGTCCAGTGTGGACAGACACACTTGCTGTCGCTGGAATTTTATCGCGTCGCGTGTAGTTAGGACACGGTGTTATTCATCGTCTGGAATCGTTTAAAGCCCTTTGAACAGTTTGCACTGAAACTGTCTTTTGGACCTTGAACCGTTTGGTTCCCAATAAAGTTCATTATATGGAAAAAAATCCTGGAATGTTTTTATCAAAAACCTTAATTTCTTTTCGACTGAAGAAAGAAAGACAAGGACATCTTGGATGACATGGGGGTGAGTAAATTATCAGCAAAAGTTTTTTTTTTTTTAAACGTGAACTACTCCTTTAATTTCCAGTGGGAGTTGATTTGAAGAAACACGAGTAACCAACGCAATAAGGATGATCAATCTAATCTAACGTGATGCACTGCCCTATACCATTGGATTGCAATTAAGTTCACACCACAAGGTGCAAAACAATCAAGCCATGTCTGCATGATTCATTTAAATTTCAATATGGCTTTGTGTGATTAAATCGCCAAGGCTGTGATTTAATTAATTAAATGCATGTGCTGCATGTTTCAGAGTGAAGCACGGCACTGTGTTTTATTACACAGCTCGTGATTGGGTTTTAGTGTTTCATAGTGACTCGGTTTGCAGTCTCAATCTCAGTTAGCAACTCGTACGAAAATTACGTCGAGGAGCGTTCCAGAACGTGGACGGCCAAAGCATAATTTGGGTTTAAAATGGCTATCAGCAAAATGGGAGATTTCAGGGCTTCCTGTGCCTTTAAAAAACCCTATTAATTATAATTTTATCAGAAAACGTTGCAGTTAGTTGTTTTTTTTAATGTATTTAGAGTTACAGAATTTTTGTTGTAACTAGTCGTGACAGTCAGTAACATTGACATGTTTTGATTTCTTTTGATTTTTCTGTCATATCATATTGATCATATTTATTTAGCTGGTTAGCTCTTTGGCACAGTGAAATCTGAACATTTTGCTTTCAGTGAGGACTAAGAACTTCCTGGTTTGGATGAGGTGCTAAAATACTGTCCGTTCTTTTCAAATGCTTTGTTTTGCTGACCTACACTTGTAAGACCCCCCACTGATCTTTCCACACGACTGCATCATGACTCCTAGTCATCCTCCAACACATCCTCATTGACTAAAAGAGCCATCCAGTGTCGGGTGTAATTGCCATATGTGTTGGAAGCTCAGTCACAACAGTCAGCGAGTGCTCGGTGGGTCTCGGCAGGGTTGCAATGAGACGTCTTACACCCCCTCTCAGTTTGCGAAGAGCTCTTTTTGTCTACAGCCATTGTGTGGGACGGTGCGAACAGGCTACGAACTGCCAACCTCCCTGATTGGCAGTTGCTGCAATAGGAAGAAGTGGAGTGTGACTGTAATTGAAAGATTACTGTGCCTTGGGAAGCTATTGATTTGGAAAAACAATAGCATCCAGCTCATTGTATGCGGTAAGCCTGATTGTTCCATCCATAGCTCGCCTGATTAGCACGGCAAGGATTTGAACTTGTGAAGCAGACAGCTGCATTGAAATGAGATTGATGTTATCATCCGGCATTAGCGTTTGACTGAAAACCCAAATGGATGTTGTAACCAATTTGTTCTGAAAACCTAAGGGCATCTTTTTTTTTTTCTTTCACAGTTACGGCTAGCACTTTGTTAGCTTGTCTCTTATCGGAAGCGAACACTGAATGAAACAAAGTCAGGTTATCATCCAATCCATATGAAGAAGTGGAAAGATAACTTGAGCTAAATATGTTCTTTGTGGGCGGTGCTGCCCAGCACGATGTGACTGAAGTCGTAACCCCTTAATGGAGTGGTTCACTTTAAAAAAAAACATAATTTACTCACCCCCATGTCATCCAAGATGTCCATGTCATTCTTTCTTCAGTCCAAACAAGCGAAACGATCACTCATTTAATAAATAAATAACAAAGTTTAAGTTTTATAAGCTCAAATGTTCGCCTTGCTCTGTTCTGTGATGCGCGTTCGTGACTCTCCTGTTCAAACTCGTTTGTCAAAATGATTTGTGTCATTTGGTTGATTCAGCGAACGAATTGACTCGGAAAAAGATTCGTTCATTTTGATACACAATGTGTATCTAATGCACATTTTATTCTGATTCCGATTGTTTTCGGCTGATATTGCCACGGAAACGCCACCATGTTCTTTTCAGTTCGACTAGACGGTTCCGACAAGCTTGATGCGCACCAAATCCGTTGAGATACGAGTTTTTCGCTTCACAGTCCATTTGGGGGGCGCTTTTTACGTCATTAAACATTTAGGCTACCATTTCTGACAGTTGTTATGATGATACACCATGGATAACGTAAACCTTTATTGTTCATCGGACGAAACAAATGCATTTCGTTTTCACATGCGTGTAAGCCCAGGCAGCGAAAAGGCAAGATTGCATATAAAAGAAAATTTAAAAAATGTAAATAAAGCAATATTCGCACAGTAACTTCAGCATTCGAATAGTATTGTTTTTTTTTTTTTAATATTCAAATTATATTTGAAATTCGGAATTCGTTCCAACAGGCCTAGTGTAAATGCAGCCATTTCTTTTCTTCCATATTGTGACGTGCATTCAATTGTAACTAGGGGTGCACGATATTGACAAAAATGTGATATTGCGATATCGATAATGAATATTGCGATATCGATATTAATTTCGATATTTTTAAACGGATTTAAAACTATAAAAGTTATTGGAAAATGCATCAAAAAATATTAATAAATAAAACAAGTTTTCTTACAACATAAGATGTATTTCAACTGACAGACATATTGGACTGGTACAGCATTAATAAATAGGCCTAAATAATCTGTCTACAGAACAGGACATGTTAGTTATGTACACTACAGTGTAAAAGATAATAAATAAATAAATAAATAACAAGTCTACAGAACACACTATGCAACATAAACGACACTATATGCGTTTTCTTTGACCGGATAGCTATGATCGTGAAAAGACCAGGTGTAATGCCCTGTGA